AGCTTTCCCGTCCTCCCCAGCCGAAGGATGCTGCATGGTCTGCACTCCCAAGTTTTTAAAAGATTGTAAAGCTACATGGTAAGGGGGGTGGGGGTCTTGGTTTCTGGTTTTAATGTTCCAAATGCGATAGCAACAGCTTTAAGTTGCACATACCTCTTGATTTTTTTATGTATATACATAAAAATGCAAATACACCTCCACACAGCCCCTCCCAGAGCGCAGACGCTTGCCTCCTACCTATGACATTTTTCCAACTGAGCATTCTGTTTTCTCCTATAATCGTTACTTGCCTCCAAAATTTGTGCACAATACCTTAGGTAGCAGAATAATTTATAAGTCAGTGTAAAAGCAAAGCTGTGCAGCTGCTCCGAGTTTGCAAAACTATGAAACAGGAGGGATTTCAATGCAAAAAATACTGTCTCTGCACAGATGAACTTGCCCAGAATGTGCTACACGCACGGAGGCAAAGAACTGCGCGCTCAGAGCTGCAGGAAGCAAAGCTTCAGCGCTGGTAAAGGGAGCTGTCAGAAGTGTTGATACTAAAGCTTCTCTTTTTTAAGTTACAGAACATATGCCTTTGTGTATATTTTATTTTTCATTAATTAACTCTGTGTTCCACACACCGCCCAAACACGTCTTGGACTTTTGAAGGCATTCTAACAAAAGTTTTTTTGTTTTCTTTTTGTCTCTGTGTGTTATGACATTTCAAGGGTTGTAGCTAGCACTCATGTTTATAAAGCAGGGGAATTCCATGCAAGGCGACAGAATAGATATTTTAACAATATGTTACAAATATTGTCAATTCAGTATTTTTTCCCTCGCGTTTTCAAACACTTCATAAATCTAGACTAGGTTTCTGTGTATGAACCCTGCTTACCACTGAGCTGGAGACTCTTGGCATGAACGCAAAGAGGGCTTTTTATAAATAAAACTTAGTAAAATCACCGTGCACTCCATTAATTTAGGAACACTCTGCCTCAGCTTCAAAGGGATCTTTACAGTAAAGAGGGTGTTTTTGCTGCTTTAATGATTTGCTACTTGTACTTGTCATAACTACATGAGCCAAATATGCAATACCAGGGAGCAGTGGTTTAGGGAAATGCACAGTTCCGTCTCCGATCCAGCCCCGCTTTGGTTCAATTCAATAGATTTGAGGCTTTTTATAGAAAAGCTACTTCATAAATCTAACACTTGGGGCCATCGTATAATGTCAGCTAATGAGAGCAAGCTACACGCATGCCTCGGGTATGTACACGGACCCTCACCATTCTGTGACACTCTTCCTGCACTGCTACAACATCCAGCCCGGAGAAGAACTGGAGACCCACGAAGCGCCCCGCATCCAAGCCAAAGTAAGAAGGGTCGATAGAGGTAAAATGATACCTGCTTCCTCTAAATAGTATATACTATAAGTGGCCTACTAAGACTTTCCAAGCTGTTACTTAATCCTTTTATGGAACATGAAGGCTCCCAATTTTTAGGTCGTGTTTTACCCCAGCTTGTCCCTTTCCCCACCCCCCTGCCACACATTTATATTCATTCCTCCCTGCTTCGGGGATGCGATGTTTTCCGGGGTTAAGGCACAGAGCTGGGAGAAGCAGTAGATCTGGACCCATTTCCTGGACACACCTGTAGATGCTCTGGTACCTTCAGCACATTTCTTGAGCTTCAGTTTTCCTAAATTTAATAAACGGGAACAACGATCCTCGCTCTCTCGCATGTTTTGACTACTTGTGCATATTTTGAGGAACACTGCTATTCAGAAAACACTCACGCAGCACTTCAGACAGAGCCATTCGGGATGAATTTTTGATGGGAAAGCAAAAATGTTACCATAAGCTCATTGAAAAGATATCTGGTTTTATTCATCTATTTGGGGGTGTTTTCTTTAAAATAAATTGATAAGTCATTGCCTGCAACTGCATCCACTCTTTTTTAGGGTGAATGAAGGCAGTCGAGTGCAATGATGTGCTAAGGGGATGCCTGCCCAGCAGGACGGCCCAGGAGGATTTGGAGGGAGAATTCTTTGCCAGCCCCAGGCTGGAGCCCTTGGCTGGGAGGGCAGAGCCGCGTTTTCTCCAGCCCTGAAGGTCTGCGTCTTCAAGCAGAGTGTTAGAGTGACTTGTGCTCCTGAGTATCTCAAAATGCTGTATAGACATCAGTGATTTAATCTAATTCACTTCTACCAGTGGCCATTTATGTTTTTACACTCACCTTCGCGTGCCTTTTGGGTTTGGGAGTGGAGAAGCTGACAGTGACAATAATTAGGTGCAAAGTCCCATTCCATCAAAGCCCAACTGCCAGTCCTGACCCACAGCTCTTCAGCCACCTGTGTGCCTTGTTCTTCTTTAGTCTTTCCTTTTGCACTGCTCCCTGTGCCTCCATTCTCTTCCCAAACGCTCATCTCTTTCCTCCAGCTTCCCTCTCCCCCTGCCTGAGGCCGGATTCCCTTGCAGTACTGCAGAACAGCCTGACGCCGCTCCCTCAGACCATGCGTTTCTTCTAACCCAAAGCTGTTGCAGAACATTTCCCCTGCACTGACTTGTGAGAAGAGACGGAAACAACAGAAAGGAACTTGAGGGAGGGCTACAACTGACCCAGGTGCTCTCCAGATTTTCTTTGCCAACTTTCCTTAGCTCTCTTTCCACAAAGGGGAGGCTGCTGCAAGACAGCAAGGGCACACACCCATAAAATATATTAAGTGTATAAAATGCTTCACATAGGCACCAGCCCTCCTCCGAAAGGAAATATGAGTCATGCCAGGGCTCTGTTCACAGAGCACCTAAGAAATAAAAGTAATTTGCAGCTACACACTACAGTCAACAACATCATTCGGTGTCTATGAATCAGACAGAGCAACTCTTCCTGCTCTGTTCAGTTAAGTCTTTCTGAGACCGCATTGGTCTGCCCAACCCATCCTCGAGACAAGACCTGCACTGCTGTTTCATCTAAATTTTGCTTGCTGGGAGATATCAAGACTGATTCTGTTCCTTTCAGCCAATACTGGAAACCAACAGGTTGGGATAGCTGGAATCACTGAGGTTTTGGTCTTCAGAGCAATTTCAGCATGGACCCAAGTTCAAGGAGCTCACCTGTCTTTACCAGATGCGGTCACAAGTTGCACTCATCCCCTTTAGAAAGGCTGCTTACTAAATACTACAAAAAAATCCCAACCCTGCTTAAAGCAGCCTTTTCCTTTGCCACCTCCGCCTGTTATTCAAATGCACTGGCAGTGCAGCTGGGCAGATAGTTTCTGCCTGATTTTTGCAGTCCTCTTACCAATACATCCAGGCACGTGGGATCTATTTTTTTACTTTAAAACCGAGCCCTGTGTGGTAGCTCTCTGGCTCTTCTCCATTCAGCGTGCACCCAAGGTCTCATCTTCACCTTTCCTTCCCCCAGCAAGGTATCACAGACTGGAGCTGATGCTCTCAAGGTGATGTCTGAGCCCATGTTTTAACTGCCAAGCTGTCCCTTCTCCTCAGTACATTTTTTCAGACTACTATTAGTCCAAGATGACATAGGGACACATTTGGAGATAGATACATACCTGAAGCCCCAAACACCTATACAGTAATTCCTAGCAGGAATTTCAGCAAGCTAGGCACTTCATTTACAAATCTATGCACAGTTCTACAAACCAATCTTCTTAATACTATTTAGGCTTCCAACTCTATAAAAGAATCAGGAATATTTCGAAAGAACAAAAGCATCTCTCCTCCACCCTTTAGATTGTATGAACTTTCAAAATTAAAAATAAAAATCTAATTTTGAACCCTTTTATGTCTTCTAATCCTCTCCTACTCTTTTTTTTTAATTTTGAACACAGCTGTCTGTTGTACTTTCTCAAATGATGCCAGATGCTGGGTTCATCAACCAAACGCATGAAAACAATGGTTTGAAAGCAATTAGAAGCACCGAGGCTGCACTGAGGCTCATATTAAAATGTGATAACACTGTTCTAGTGGGAATTGCAACGCTGCTGCATTTCTGACATTTCTGTGCTGCCAGACAGACAGGATGTGCTGGAAGTGGGCCCTGATCGAGGAGGTAACATACTGGAATTTATTCCTGGAGTAAATGAAGGATTAGCTGAGTTGGAACACTCGTGAGGATTTTTATTACAGCCCCGGCTCCCATCTTGTTTGAACGCTGGCAGATCCTTCTGTCTGTGCTCACGTATCACAACCACTATTTAAGCAAAAACGATGAACCCACCGAACTACATGCCTTGGCTACAGCCAATGCTCCAAATCAGGAGTCCGAGCTGAGCTCCACCCGTTCAACACAAAGTCAGAGGAGCTCCAGGTCAGCTCTAAGCAAATACATATCCATCAATTGCCCCGAATATGCCGAAGTGCCCACTGACACAGCTTGCAACCCACAGGCACCCTGGAAAGTTTAAATCATCACCCACATTATTGCGGAGATGAAGATCAAAGCCACAATCAGATCCTCCCAGCTTGTTAACAGACATGACAAGAGATGGTCACGGTCCTGAAAAAATTTACAGCCTGACCGTTTGTCTACACCTGGAGGTCGATTCAATTTCAAGTTTGGGTTAACATGAGGCAATGAGACTGGAGGAAATTTGCTGAAGGTTCCCAACAGTCTTTGCTCCTAAGTCAATGGCTCATGGGAATACACTGCCCTTGCTGAACTTTAAGCCTTTTCTGGAGACAGAAGTTCTGCAGAAAAATTTCCTGCGCTTGTCCAAGACAAAATGCTTATGTCAGCACCACACAGTTTTGTATTATTTGCTCTCAAGGGTAAGGAGAAATGGACTTCTGCTGCCCAGAAAGAATACTAACCCCAGCTCCTGCACTGCAGCTTTGCCCCTTTCCACCCCTAAGAACTGCCACATGGAGCTCTATATTCAGTTTAAGCTCTTCTCCTTGTTGACTTCACATAGAAAACCCCACACACATCCAGCCCATCCCTGCTCCCTAAGCTCATCGCAGTGAGAACTCGCCCTTCCTTCCCCACCAGCTTGTACTCACCTCGGGGCAGAAATTCCAAGTGGTACCTGAAAGACAAAAAAAAAAAAACCACAGACATAAGCACACATTATTTTGTTAATGATTTGTTCCAGCCTGATGAGTAAGCGACAGATGGGAGAATTATGCCAGAAGTGCTGCCAGGAGCCCAGTGAATGGTCACAACAGACATTTTGGTGAAGAAGCTTCAAGAGGAACTGCGAGTCCTACAGATGTTAGCTGGCCCCTGCGACATCCTCTGCTACCCAAGGAACCTCCTTCACTAACCAGACCTCCTCCCTTCAAGAGTTCCAAAGGCTCCCAACTTCCTTCCATGTGAACAGGTCTCTTTCTCCAAATGCGGAGGTTTACATGATCATAGAGTCATAGAATGGTTTGGGTTGGAAGGGACCTTAAAGATCATCTGGTTCCAACCCCCCTGCCATGAGCAGGGACATCTTCCACCAGCCTAGGTTGCTCACAGCCCCATCCAACCTGGCCTTGAACACTTCGGGGGGGGGGGGGGGGGCCCACATTGCTT